TTTTAAAACTCATGTTGGTAACGGAGGGAATGAAATATGCAGCACTTTTTGGGCAATAAATCCAAACAGTGATAACTCTTGGTTCTCACTTACATATCCTTAACAAACTGGTTTGAATATTTGCTTCATATAGTTTTCTACCATATGGTACAAGATTAGGTTGAAAAACCTCTTACTTTTTGACTCATGAGATTTTTTATTAAGAAAGGTCATGGTAACGGAGGGAAAAGTAACGGAGAGAAAATTGTGCAAACAAGTAGAAGGTGCAATGATTTTACATCAATTTGTCGCTTTTTTCTTCCGAACTTTAATATTACTTCAAAATGAAAGGAAACTATTTCTATAAAATATGTCAGTCCTTCCAAGCAAATTTATATCATTTTAAATAATTTTTTTTTGAACAATCATGTACCTTCATCAACAGTTCAAAGATGAAATAACACAAGATATGATGAAATACATCCATTTATTTACATGATTTGCAGGTCTTTGAAATTTGGGAAATAATTTTTGTTCCATGTTTCATACATGGTCTGTTTAAAACATATGTAACTTTAGAACCAAAAATGGTACAGAAAAAAGGTCAAACAGTTTCATAAACTAGAGTACATATGTATCTGTTGAATACATTTTTATATCAGATGCATTAACTTGAATTTTTGGCCTTGCTGTTTACTTCTGCTTGACAGGGCCCATATACGGTCTGTGTGTACGACCTGCAGACGTATAATCTCTGAAAAGTTTAACATGAACCATCTCCAACACGATAGAAGCACAGAACAGACTCACCATCAGCAGAACACCCCTCTGTCACAGAAAGAACACTCATATTCCACTGAGTCGTGTCTTTTAGTCCAACAGAAGCTGAACCGCATCAGCGCACAATAGAAAGATGTTTTGTTGAGCGCTCAGTTTATGCAAATTAGCCATGCAGTTTTAAATTTAGTTTCTGTAAAACGTAAACAAATCTGCTCAAAGCTGTGTGGATAGGGAAGACTTGCGGACACAAAAACAACGTGTCTGGATGCAGATCGTTTCCGATACGGTGATACGTGGATTTGTTTCAGTGTAAACGGGGTCTTAAGTTCCATCCTAACGGTGTCTATAAGGCTCTGGCTGAAAAATGTGTTTTTCTCAAAAAACTTTAAAAATAACTAATTTAGGGCCATGTATCAATGTTGCTGTTATATCTCTATCTTCATAACTTTCTAAGATATGATAATTTTGTCAAGATTTTGAGTGTTTTTTCCATAATTATCCAAAATCCACAAACGCCAAAGATGAAATGAGAGACATAAAGTTTGTTCTTTCTGTAGTGATCATAGACTGTGTAAAAAAGTGGAGTAAGTGAGTGTGACGTGACCAGAGCGTCTCAGTGACAGGTACGACTCAGGGTTTGGTAAACCCAAGTTTCCAGAAAGGATAAGGATGTTATTAAAGAAAAACAGATTTTTCAGCTCAGATTTAAAGCTTCTGCAGGAACTAAACTTCAGAGGCTTGATGGACTCAGTAAACGTCAAAAGAATTTCATGAAATTTCTCATGGAAGTTTATTTTGGCAAGTGTAAAAAAAATAGGGGTGTGCAAAAATATCGGAATATCGATATATCGTATCATTTAATGTGATGATACAGTATCGATATCGTGAGCTACTGTATCGATATATCACCAAGAGTATTTTTAGGTGTGTTTTACTAAATTATTTTGTTACAGCTACAGTTTTGTGGCTTGTGGCGTGAAAGGAAACTCATTTATTCAACACATTTGATATTTTCACTGTTTTGATTATTAAAATGTTTGTGTTTCATATGAACTTTGCACAAGAAGTGGTTTAACAAACACTTTTAGTGTCACAGCCACGATTTAGCCTTTATTTTTAATTGAACCGTATCGAATCGATTTGAAATATATCATATCGAATTGAAAGTGCACTGTATCGAGATATGTATCGTATCGTGGCCTGTGTATCGAGGTATGTATCGTATCGGCAACTTCTTAATGATACCCAGCCCTAGTAAAAAATTATACTAAGTACAGATTGATTTTGAAAAAGTTGGGCAAATGATGCTCCTTATTGTCCAAATAAAGCTAATCACAATTTTTACTCAAGTAAAAGTAAGAGTATTGTTACTTCAATAAAAATATTAGTCAAGTAGTAGTAAAAGTACGCTGAAGTAAATGTAACTGAGTACTATATACATCTGCCAAGTAATAATTGGTTAAATACTACTAAATAAGACTAATACTGACAGTTTTCCAGTGTAGTGGTCCAGGCTGGTCTGGTTCATGTCAGGCCACTGGCTCCTCGCAGCGTGTGTGTGTGTCTGTGTGTGTCTGTGTGTGTCTGTGTGTGTCTGTGTGTGCGAGTGTGTGCGTGTGTGTGTGTTCGTGTGTATCCATGTATGTGTGTGCGCGCTCTCTCCCCCTGAGCCGTGTCCGAGCTGAGCCGTGCCAAGCCCAGCGTCACGCTTCATTCACAGCGCTCCCACCCTCACCGCTACTGTCTCAGATCTGCGCTCGTTCTGAACGTCTTGGCCGGGTTTGTGCAGAGTTTGTGCGGCCGTTTGACAGGACGTATGAAAAGCAGCTGCGCTCAGGTCTGACGGGGACCGGAGCGAGCGACAGGGACAGGGCCAAAACTCTACAGCAGAGGGACAGAGGCAGAGACACACGATAATCTGAAAATGGACCAACATAATCTGAACGACACAGTGGAGCGTGCAGGAGGAGAGTGTTTGGACTCTCGTACAGGGGGAGGGAGCGTGAATACTTTTAACGATGCAGGATTTGCATGTTTACTCTCCTCACTGAGACGGGCTGAACTCTGATTCAATGACGAGACAGTTTTTGTAGTTTTCAGATTTAATGTGGAGTGAAACTGCAAGAGAAAATACAAAAATATCATCAGCGATCTCTTAATAATTTCACATTCCAAGCAGTTACAGTAAATAGCGCATAAAAGTTGTCTTATTTTAACATGAAAATAAATACATGAATTTATCACGGATCTGTTTTTATCATTACTATATGAGGATGCGTGATACAAACATGCTGTTAACATAAATAACAGCTGACTACTTTAAATAATGTCTTTTTACCTTTACAAATTTGTTCTTAAGTCATTTATACACCCATGAAATTACTCAAATTAAAAGTACAAATGTAAATATGCAGGCGTTGCTTCTGTAGGAGTTGCACTAAGTTTGATTTTTAGTGGTATGAGTCCGTTTGGTTGCCTCTTGTTGTACCTCTCGTTTATTTTTCAACTTTCAGTTCCGTGGACTGGGGTGGAGTACCAAAATAAAAGCCTGGATTTCAAAATAAAAGTATATGCATTAAAAATTAACTAAATAATATCTGAAAGAAAGAACAGCATGAAATAATTGTTCAGTATAGGTGAGTTTCATTGTTGACAAAAGTGCGCGTTGCATGCTGGGAATTATTTTGGTCGGCGGCAAGAAACACTAATTCAACATGACGGACGGAGCGAGAAAACACGTAAAGGGTATTGATCCCGGTTATTTATCCACTCTAACGGCAGAGGACCCAAGACCATTTGACCAGAAATTGGTCATAAGCATCGACGGACGATAAATCACCCTTTTCAACCCCGACAAAAGGTGGACCAAACCAAATTTCTGGTCAGAATCGCCAACTACCTGGACAAATATTCACTTGGGCGATATCCACAATGACTTGGTGGAAACTCCTGGGTCATTCACAGCAGAAAAGATGAAAACCTCCAAGAGTCTCGATGTGTTGTTGAACTTGTTGGAGTCCACGGTTTGTTAGGATCTTCTACGTTTGCTCTGCGGATGTTTGAAAGTCGTTTAATTCACCGTTAGTGGTTCTTTTCACTCAGAATATGAAAAAGACATTTTCCTTCTTCCGTGCTTCTATTTGTGCATCCGATAATGCAGCAGGAATTTACCATTATTGGGGAGAAATACGCGAGGTTACGCACTGTGTTTGACGCTACCGTGTTTCTTGCCTCCGACCAAAATATTTCCCAGCATGCAACGCGGGCTTTTAATAACAATGACGTCAGCTGAAACTCGCCTATTAAAGCTCTTACTATGGAAGTCACTGTGAGTGCTTTAAACACAACGTTATTCAGGCGCTCCAAAGAAGTAAAAATCGCACAAGGAAAGATCTAGTTAAAAGGCTTTTATTTAGATGGCCAACTATATTTTTCCTCGTGCGATTTTCACTTCTTCGGAGTGCCTGGATTCCGTCGTGTTTAAAGTTTTGATCCTTTTTCCAAGAGCACCCGCTACCTGCTCTCACTGATTGGAACACCTGCAGCAAACAGACACGTTTTGGTTTTTTCTCACCGTGGACGCTGCCATCGACTTTAGGGTTGTTTTATTGTACATGGAACATTTTACAAAGTGACTTGTGTGAGGAGAAAATTCAGTTTGTCGACTGGACAAAAGTTAGTTTGGTTGAAGATGTTTCGCAGCTCATCCAAGCTGCTTCTTCAGTTCTGGTCAGACGCTGGTGGACACTTCCTTATATCTGCAGGGAGGAGTTAACTAACTGAAACTAACACACACACTTGTTTACAGTTTCTGTTTGTTAGTTCAATCCTCAAACCTAATTCAAAACAAACAAGAGAACAACAGGTGTAGCCAAGTCAGGTTCAGAGGTGTGGAAGCTCCATTATGGCCATTAATTGTTCTGCTAATTAGACCCCACACCCTGTACAGATCAAAAGGCCAAACTAACAAACAGAAACTGTAAACAAGTGTGTGTTAGTTTCAGTGTAGTTAGCTCCTCCCTGCAGATATAAGGAAGTGTCCACCAGCGTCTGACCAGAACTGAAGAAGCAGGTTGGATGAGCTGCGAAACGTCTTCAACCAAACTTAACTTTTGTCCAGTCGACAAACTGAATTTTCTCCTCATGGATTCTACCTGGACGACTGAGGGATTCTTCACACATCTAAAGTGACTTGTGTTGTCATATTTTAGCAGCTAAACTTCTCAAACTGTCTCTTTCAGGCTCCTGAAGCTCCGGAGCCCAGTGTGAGCTCCAGCCACAGCCCGGCCACCTGGAGACGACCTCTCCCCGGCAGCGACGCACCTCTCGTGGGCAGCTCCAAGACGCTGGGGGCCTCCTCCTCCTCCAGAGCCGAGCTGTGGGCCAGGGGTCAGGGGTCAGGGGCCCGCACAGAGGGGAGGGCCCGGCCTTGGAGCCAGCGGCACACTGAGCAGCACTGAGGTGGGCACAGACAGACGCTTTAGACTGGAGTTAAAGTGCTGTTTGAAAAGATCATGTGAAGTTTGGGGAGAATTTAAAGCTTCAATATTACGCTAAAGCAGGAGTCTCCAACCTGCAGCTCGGGAGATACCAGCAGCTCTCCACCCCCTTACAAGTCGCTCACCAAAGGATTTCTGACTTATATGTATTGTACTGAACTCAAATTTGATGAATTACCATTAGGGATGTAACAATAACCGAAATATCGTGATATCGTATCGTCAAAGTTCTCACAATAATATCGTGGACCATCACAATATATCAAATTACAAGTCTCTTTGCTTAAATGAAGAGTTATGGTGCAGCAAGAGCTAAAAAAAACCCAAAAAAAACGGAAAGAACTACATAGACCATGATCCTTTGCTCCATTTCAGTGCAGACTACAAGAAGAAATAACAGTTCTAACACTTTTAAGTCTTTAGTTCTTTGGATTAAATCTTGTCAAAACATTTTAAGAGGAAAAAGTCTCATTAACAGATTTAGCCTAACAAAATATCACAATAAATATCGTACCATGAGATCGTGAAAATATCGTGAAAACCGAGAGATTTGGATATTGTTACATCTCTAATCGTGTGCCTCCCAAACATATCGTGAGCTTTCCCACAATATTGCAATAAATATCGTATCGTCAGGTTCATACCGTGACGATATCGTATCGTGAGACTGTAAATGTGTTAGTTTGAACTTTGTGCTCTAATAAATAGATAATAGATAAGGCTTTAAGTTTTATATGCACCTAACTGTACATCTAAACCTTGCCCTCTTATATCGACTCAATTTCTTGCGATTTCTTTTTTCATTTTCATTTTCATTTTCATTTTGTAAAGCCAGCTCACTGAACACAAAAGGCTGGAGATCCCTAGATCGCTAAAGTGACTCATGTGAGCTTTAAGCCATGTTAGAATGTTGTTACCTCTTCAAAAATAGACCTGAAGTTGTGTTTTGTTTCATTCACACATGTTTGAGTTTGGAATGTGCATTCGATGAAATTTTATTAATCGATCTTCGGGAGAATTAACAATCGATTTTCGATTAGTCATTAACGTTTTTATATAATAAGAATCATCATTATTATTACTATTACTAATCTGCATAAATAAACTCAACTTTACATCATATAAACCGTGAACACTCTAGAGCCACATCAGCCCGTTTGACGTTATAATGTGTTTAATGATGTTGTGATGAGGAAACAACATTATAACAAAGATCAAACTAAGGCTGCGTTCAGACTGCAGCCTGAAGTGACCCAAATCCGATTTTTTGGCCCCTATGTGACCTGTATCTGATCTTTTAATGACAGTCTGAACGACACAGATCCGATTTTTTTCAAATGTGAGGATACTTGGATATGTGCTCCTGAAACCGATACATATCTGATCTTTTGACATGCGACTTCAGTGTGAACGGCCAAAGTGCATTCATTCTACCTACACGTTATCAAAAAGCCACAAACGTCACTATTCTGCGCTGAAGTAGGCGAAAATTGTTAATGAACTCCGTGTCACTGAAGCGAAGCACATCACCACTCACCACTCTTGGCTACGTCTCCACATCCACACGTTCCTTTCAACGGACGTCGCTGCCGCTGCCCCACAAAACACCACGACCAAAAACCTCGTCCTTCTCCTTCTCAATCTCCTCCTTAAAACAAGTAAGTTGTTCATGTTCTGGCTCCGGTACGAGAGGAACTTTAAAATCTCCAGGTGCTCAATGCTGCGTCCATGTTTGGACAACTTCCGTAAACACAGAGACGCTCGCTGCGGTTGACGTCGTCGTGTCTCCAGTGCACATGCGGGACACTTTCGGGCCGTTTAACGTTCACACTGGGGATCGAATACAAGTCGCATTTAATTGGAAATGTGAACGACCTCACAAAAACATCGGATTTCACAAAAAAATCTGAATTGAGCATTAAGCCCTGCAGTCTGAACGTAGCCTAATTGACTATTAAATTATCGTCTAATTATAATCACAGTGATGAGTAAACTAAATATTTATCGTGCGTTAAGATGAAATCTGTATAAACCTCAGTTACACCAAAGATTTAAAAGCCACAATAAGCAACTTTCTCTCCCAATATAGACTCAAATAAATCCATCTCCACCACAGCATCAGGCCAAATATCGGATTAGATTTTTTTGATCTCTTCTTTTTCCTCTTGTTACTTATCTCATGAACTGGTTTAAAGCCCCGGTCCTGATCTGGCTCACGGTCCGTCCTCTCCTCTGGACTCTTCAGAGCTCTGCAGACTGGATTAAAGCACTGCGGGTTATTTACTGCTAAAGCCACTCGTGTGTGAGCCAGCAGCCCTCTCAGCGTTTAAGCCCCGTCTCTGTCCACTCCTCATGAGCAAATACACTGCAGCAGCACCGTCTCTAACTATTCTCTATTTAATGTTTTAATGTTGTTTCCTCATCACAAACAGAGCTGGAGTTAGAGGCGCTCGATTATGGAAAAAATCATTATCACGATTATTTTGGTCAATATTAAAATCACGATTATTTTTTTGTTACGCGATGCATTTATTCAGCATTTCTCTCTCTCAGAAAATAATAGATAAGATAATTTATGCAAAACTTTCAAATTGAAAATAAATATAGGCTACAAATATATAAAACATGAAATACATAAAATATACTTTGAACATGAAATAAGGCAAAGAAAAAGATAAATGCATCCAAAATAAGATATGTATGTCCAGCTCTATATTTTAAAAATTAAATGAATATACTCATTTATATAAAAAAAAATATTCAAAAATAAACTTTGTTAAGCTTTAAATAGTTTCAACTGTACATGAGTTTGAAGATCGTTTGACACACAAATCGAAATTGCGATCAAAATTCGAGTCATTGCGCAGCCTGACCTGGACTTGTGTTTTGTTTCATTCACATATTTAACTCACAAACCTGCAGATTTATGCTGAGTTCTTCTCTCAAACAGAACAGACCAACTCATAGAACTGTGCAAAAATATTGAAATATCGGTATGTTGTCTCGTTTAATGCGAGGATACGGTATCGATACTGTTAAAACACTGTGCTGAAATTAAATTTTTCTTAAAGTTTCAGGTTGTTCATAATATAATAATATTTTTTAAAAGAAAAAGTTAATCAATTAAAAAATATTTCTGTAATAGATTTGTGTTTCCCTGCACAAATATTTGAACTTGAATTGTTATTTTTGGGGTTTATATGACATGAGTTTTCTGATCCGGCCCCTTTGGGATCAAATTAGTTTGGATATGGCTTGGGTAAGTTCCACAAACCTACAGCGGGGCACTTCCAGCTGTTGTGAAAAATATCTATAGAGGCTTTGCACCGTCACGTGACCCCTATAGTAACTGTACCTACGCCGCCATGACACCGGGCACGCTATGTCAATGACTTCAGCAGCATCGGAGAAACATGGGCAGGTTTTGTTGTGTATTTGGTTGTTCTAGACGCTCTGAAAGGAAAATGAATTGTTTCTTCACTGTTCCTCTGGAAATGACTCATCAGGATCAAACAAGGGAATTATCCAAAAAAAGACACGGATTATAGCAGCAAAAATAAACCGCGAAGAGATTTCCAATGGTACCATCAAGACACCTGAAGTTTCATCAAGGTATTTGCTATTTAAATAGTTTCATAGTTTATTTAATGAAAGAGGCACATTTACTGATCTAAAATTTCATTAATTTATCCAGGAAAACCCGCACTAGTTTACGATTCAACGAACCCACACTGGGCTCCTGTGATCAACATGACGCACGAGTCGAAGAGTCTGTGAGCCGAACCTCGAAAGAATCGGCCATGAAAAGATCCTCGCGAACGTTAGAAAGATCCGCTCGCAAAAAGTGATTAATTCTAGAAGACATAGTTGTGGATAAGCAAGACAATAAAGAAAACATGGGTCCTACGACGAGTGACATGTTTATATGTGCGCTGGAAGATACAGTTTCTACTGCCACTCACACTGCAAATGTTTTCTTTTTACATTTTAGTTCAGTAAATGTGCTTCTCCCATTAAATAAGCTACGAAACAATTTAAATAGCATAAACCTTGATGAAAGTGACGTGAGTGTGTCTTGATGGTACCATAGGAAATCTCTTTATTTATTTATTTTATCTCTATTTCGTTTATTTTCTCTAGACATAATTCCCGTCTTTTTTTTTTCGATAATTCCCTTGTTTGGTCCTGATGAGTCATTTCCAGAGGAACAGTGAAGAAACAAATCATTTTATCCCTTTCAGAGCGTCTAGAACAACCAAATACACAACAAAACCTGCCCATGTTTCTCCGATGCTGCTGAAGTCAATGACATAGTGTTGCCCGGTGTCATGGCGGCGTAGGTACCGTTGTCATGGGGACACGTGACGGTGCAAAGCCTCTATACCTAGAAACCTTATCCTGGTTGTTCTATGTTTAACTGCTTAAAGATAAAGATATGCCATGTAACTTTTCTGATGCGAGTCTGCCTCTTACTTGTCAACATGGAGATTATCTTTCCCTGGAATGTTCCGCAGTATTTCCGGCTCATACATATAGACGTTTCAAAATGTCAAGTACTGCAGTTTTCAACAGGACGATGAAACTGTTTAAGGTCCTTTTATTACACAAAATCAACTATGTCTGTCTACATCTCCAAATCTCAAAATGCTCTGTTCCACCTTGTGATGTCATGAAGCAGTAATTTTCACGTTAACAGCTCCTTTTACCTTTAGTGTATTAGAGATTGACAAAAATTCCAGGTCTGAAATCATCCAAATGATTCTAGTGAAGGTGTATGAAGTTTTAAAACACAGAGGAGCACTTTCTTTATTACCACATGACATCACAAGGTGGAACAGAGTGTTTCAAGAGAAGAACTCAGCCTAAAACTGCAGGGTTTGTGTGTTAAAGGGCCAATCTCATGCAAAATCAACTTTTCAGAGCTTTCTACCTTCTCAGAGTGAAGTGGGGGCCTTGTATTTGTCACCAAAGTGGTTTTTAGATTGATTCAGCGTTTTTTTTAACAAATTGCAGCGTATTTCTGCCCCACGTAACAACGAACTAAAGCTGCTACAACAACGACGCGGCAGATACACCTATTACAGTCCTCAGTCCCTGGTCCTTGTCTCAGTCTCAGTCCTGGTCTCAGTCCTGGTTCTGGTCTGGTCGGGGTCTCAGTCTCAGTCCTGGTCCTGATCCCAGTCTCAGTCCTGGTCCTGATCCCAGTCTCAGTCCTGGTCCTGGTCCCAGTCCTGGTCCTGGTCTCAGTCCCGGTCCTGGTCCTGGTCTCAGTCCCGGTCCTGGTCCTGGTCTCAGTCCCGGTCTCAGTCCTGGTCCTGGTCTGGTCCCGGTCTCAGTCTCAGTCCCAGTCTCGGTCCTGGTCCCAGTCCCGATCTCGGTCTCGGTCCTGTTCTGGTCCTGGTCTCAGTCTCCGTCCTGGTCCCAGTCTCAGTCCTGGTCCTGGTCCCAGTCTCAGTCCCAGTCTCAGTCCTGGTCCTGGTCTCAGTCCCAGTCTCAGTCCTGGTCCTGGTCTGGTCCTGGTCCTGGTCTGGTCCCAGTCTCGGTCTCAGTCTGGTCTCGGTCTCAGTCCTGGTCTTGGTCCTGGTCTCAGTCCTGGTCTCAGTCCTGGTCTCCAGTCCTGGTCTCGGTCCTGGTCCTGGTCCCGGTCTCGGTCTCAGTCCCGGTCCTGGTCCTGGTCCCGGTCTCAGTCCTGGTCCTGGTCTGGTCCTGGTCCTGGTCTGGTCCTGGTCTGGTCCTGGTCTGGTCCTGGTCTCAGTCCTGGTCCTGGTCTGGTCCTGGTCCTGGTCCTGTCTGGTCCCAGTCCTCTCAGTCTGGTCCGGTCTCAGTCCTGTCTGTCCTGTCAGTCCTGGTCTCAGTCCTGGTCGGTCTGGTCCCTCCTCAGTCCTCTGGTCAGTCTCAGTCCTGGTCCTGTTCCTGGTCTCAGTTCTGGTCTGATCTCTGTCTCAGTCCTGGTCATGGTCTGGTCCCGGACCTGTTTTAGTCCTGGTTCAGTCCTGGTTCAGTCCAGGTTCAGTCCTGGTTCAGTCCTGGTTCAGTCCTGGTTCAGTCCTGGTTCAGTCCGGCATCACAGTTTAAGTCACGTAAACGGGAAACGGTCATTATCAGTTTTTTTTTCCATTTTTCATTTAAACACAAAATCAAAAACTGAAAAAAACGAATCATTATCTGTTTTTTCATTTTGGTTTTGGAGATAAATAATGAAGAAAATTTTCGTTTTTTTCATTTTCTTATTTTTGTTTTTATATTGAAAAACGAACGAACGACACACTGACTGGAAACAGAAGTGTAGTTTATAAATCGTCAAAATAAAATGAAATACGTATCCCGAGGCGACCAAAAACATGTTTAGAAGAACATTAAAACCACAAGAATGCAGAGTATGTGTCCTTTAAAACTGACGGACATTTGGAACCATAAACGCGTCATAAAACTTCTACATTCCTCAACCGTGTTTTTATTTTCTCTTTCAGATCCGCTTCCGTTCCTCTGTGCAAGAAGATTGATCTACTCTCCTTAATCTCCAAAAACCGTGTCCTCCTCCTCCTCCTCCTCCTGCCCCCGACCTGGACTCTCTCTGGACTTTTTGGAGCTGGACTTTGGACCCGCTCTCCGGACGTAGACAGTGAAGTGCCTCAGGATTGTCTCTGTCTCCTCTTCTGCTCTGTGGATGTATCATAATGTAACTCCAGACTGACAAGGGAGAGGCGGCACGCTCGTCGTCATCGTCAACGAAAAAAAAAAACTGCACGTCTGTACTCCGGCTCGGCTCGCTCGCGTTCAGAATATGTCGTTTTTAAGAAGATTATTATTTATTTTCTAAGTCGGTCTAGTTTTATTTGATGCTTTACAGTTTTTACGCGAAATAAAATCTTAAAATTGGAATTATTTGACCAGAAAATAGACGATACGGTTTCTTATTTTAAGTGGAACTCTTCAAAAATCGTTTAAGTTTGGACCAAGAGACACAGATCAGCTAATTTGCAACCAGGTTTTCTATTTGGATTTCCAAGACTGTAACATCGACAGTCTCGCTCCTGATCGGGTCTTTGTTTGTTTTGAAAACCTGTGCTTGGAAATCCAAATATGGAACTGAGTCTCTGGTCCACAGCGCCGGTTTGGCAGGAAGGGACGTTTCGTGGGTTTCAGGGAGATTGACGGGATTTTTAACGTTAAAAACTGGGACACACCCGGGTCGGGATGGTGGGTGTAAATAAAAATAGTGATAAAAGTGTGAGGCTCTGTCCATTCTCGACTCACACGTGGGTCAGTGTTTAATCTGAGACAAAATACGCAGAAAAACCCTGACTTCTGTATTTTGGCTAAACAAATGCGATTTATGCTCCTCTGGTTTAGAAATGGTTTAGACCTGCTTTAGTCTTAGTTTAGTCTTAGTTTAGTCTTAGTTTAGACCTGATTTAGACCTAGTTTAGACCTAGTTTAGATCTAGTTTAGACCTAGTTTAGACCTAGTTTAGACCTAGATTAGACCTAATTTAGACCTGGTTTAGACCTGGTTTTAGACCTGGTATAGACCTGGTTTAAATTTGGTTTTAGACCTGGTTTAGACCTGGTTTAGACCTGGTTTAGACCTAGTTTTAGACCTGGTTTAGACCTGGTTTTAGACCTGGTTTAAACCTAGTTTTAGACCTGGTTTAGACCTGGTTTTAGACCTGGTTTAAACTTGGTTTTAGACCTGGTTTAGACCTGGTTCAGACCTAGTTTAGACCTGGTTCAGACCTGGTTTAGACCTGGTTTAGACCTGGTTTAGACCTAGTTTAGACCTGGTTTAGACCTAGTTTTAGACCTAGTTTTAGACCTGGTTTAGACCTGGTTTTAGACCTGGTATAGACCTAGTTTTAGACCTGGTATAGACCTGGTTTAAACTTGGTTTTAGACCTGGTTCAGACCTGGTCTAGACCCGGTTTAGACCCGGTTTAGGCCTGGTTTAGGCCTGGTTTAGACCTGGTTTAGACCTGGTTTTGGCCTGTCTTAGGCCTGTCTTAGATGTGAAATAGACCTGCTTTAGACATGAAATAGCCTTGATATAGTCCTGGTTTAGTCCCAGTTTAGTCCTGCTTTAGATCAGATCGGTCCAAAATGGGGACACCTGGGACATTTCTTGTATAAAACTGGGACAACTCACTGGTTTTGTATAAATCTGCAGAGACAGGGGACATGGGACCCGTCCCGGGTTAACAGGGACGTCTGGTCACTCTGATTTCAGACAAACAATTCCTTCCTGAAATGAAAACACTATGTGAGGACTGTTCCCCCATTCAAAAGAGATAATATTTTGATTATCGCTTGAAACCCATGAATAGTTGTCAGTCAAACCTGTTTCTTTATCTCGATTTAAGAGTAAAATAGTGAAAAAGACAATTGGACCTAAAACTAAGTCACTTTCATTCTAATTTTGTAACACAGCGACTATCAGGCTCAACTTTAATATTCTGAATTCGAGTCATTTGAGCTCATTTCCACGTGTCATTGTGCAGTGAGGACATTACAGCTCAGACTCGTGTTTAACGCTGAGAATCGGACCACGCGCTCGCCTTCACCCGCTCTAAAGGACGTCGATGTGACCAAAAACTGCTCCTGATCATGTTTACTTCGGAACTTTTGAAAGGAAATGGATTTTTATTTTTCCTGGACTCGTCATGTGCATATTTTAATCTCATTTTTAACAGTGTGGACGGACAGCTGTGCAGACGGGATGGATTTGAATGTTGGGGAGATGTTTGCATGTTCCTGATGGAGAGCACTTACGGAGGACCGCGCATGCACCTGGAGATGTGGACGTGTTTGAAAAGCCTCGGGACAGTGACCCATGTTCTGCCATAACTGCTGGTCTTATTTTTCTACTGTGGTTTTCATGTACAGATACTACACTGCAAAATATCTACAGGAGTTGGAATGACTTGGATTCATGGTTTCTCTGGATTTGAAGAGATGAGATTAGTGAATGGATTCAGGATTTTGGCATGGTATATTTTATTTTAGATTTTTTTGTGCCAAAGGAACAATATTCCAAGTGGAAAGATGTAGTATATTTACACCAGCCAGCAATGTCTTAAAACAAGTCCAATAAACAAGACTTCTTAAGTAAATAGAACTTAACTAGTCAAAACTACTTAAAATGGGATTAATATTTTTAATTTAAGTTATTTTAACTCCTGTAAGAGTTATTTTAGCAATGTAGCTTGCACCAATCAAACTGCAATGTATAAAAAGCTTCTGCTTCCTGGTGCTGTGCCTCCTCACTCAGAACCTGAGGACACCTGACGGACTGTGGAGCTGTGGTTGCCCCGGGCGACAGGATTTGTTGTTGCTTCGGTTGCTCCGGCCAACAAGGTTGCTGATGCGGTTGCTCTGGGCAACGGGGTGGCGACTGTCGTTGCCCTGGGTAACAGGGTTGCTGCTGTAGTTGCCCAGGGCGACGGGTTGTTGCTGAGGCTTGTATCTGACGGGGTTCGCCGTGCGAATCTGCATCGTGTTTCTATAAAGGTGTATTATTTTATTAGAGCATTAAATATATCAACCTCATGTTTCATGTGTCTTCATTTTTACTGCAGAACATTCCAGGTCCTGGACCCAGAGCCTCTGAGCGCTCATAAAAGTGTGACAGATAAACAAACATGGGAGAAACCTCACATGCTCCTAATGCTCCTAATGCTCCTACTGCTCCACCACAACAGCTGCAGCTACGCCTGCGGAGGACTGCGTCCCGCGGAGGACTGCGTCGTGCGGAGGACTGCGTCCCGGAGGACTGCGTCGTGCGGAGGACTGCGTCCCGCGGAGGACTGCGTCGTGCGGAGGACTGCGTCGTGCGGAGGACTGCGTCGTGCGGAGGACTGCGTCCTGCCTCCATATCGTCTTCATTACAGTGAGATGTTAATGCTGCTGCCAGCTTTACCCACAAGTCCCTCTGTTTGTGTTTCTTCAGTTACTGTTTCCGCACCTTCTTCAAGCGTTCTTTTGATTTTTTTTTTGAAGATTCTGTGGGGATTGTGTGTACTTTTATTGGGTCCTGTCGGTGCAGTGATGGGCGGCTCCCTTGACGGCTCAGAGGTCAAAGGTCACGGGGGCCATCGCTGCTCCTGGCGCAGATCTGGTTTGTTCATTCTGGGCTGACGCTGATGTCCGTTTTATACCAGCTCTAGACGTGCACAGATCAGTTAGAAGGTCAGGGCCGTTTTAGATCCGGAAGTGGGTGATGGGGCCCCGGCTGTACTCCCTGACCCCCGGCCGTGTCCCATTCTAGGACTCAGGTTTCCCATGGCCTCCCTTTGCGAGTGTGAGGCCGAGAATAGAGTCACCGTGGCCTCTGTGCGGATCAGGTGGTGACATGTCATAAGCACACGATATATTCTGCTCAAACAGCGTTTAGGATTTTAACGTCATTTTCTCTTCCTCGTTAAAAACATTTCAGAAGTTCTACTTAATTTTCTCTCTATCCAGAGGTTTGAGTACGACAAATTAGAACTGTTGCCATAGCAATAAACAAGTTAAAATCAAGTCTGGAAAGTAACTAATTATGTTACTGTAATTGGGTAGCTTTTGGAGTTAATTGTACTTTTCTGAGCAGATTTTCTAACTTGTACTTGTAATTAAGTATAATTGTAGCCATGTAATTGTAATGAGTTACATTTTAAATCATAGAAATTAGTGAGAGCAGCACAAGTCTCAAGTGTCCCACGCCACGTCTGCTCCTGTCCGAACAAACACGTCCTCACGCCGCTCTGTATCGCCCGCTCTGATTGGCCAGAGCTCAGACAGAACGCAGATTACACTTTTGAAAAAGCTTCTAAAATTGTGTTAAAAAGTAACTAATTAGTATTCTGAGTAAAAGTAAACGTACAATTTTGGCAGCAGTATTTACACAGCAGTACAGCACAATATTTTCCATGTAACTGTACTTTTACTTTCAGTAGTTTTCAGTACTCTTCTGTGAAGCCATGATGTTAAACTCAAGCTCCTGTCTGTGTCCCTTTTGTGAAACAGCACAACAGTAAACAAAGCGTCGAGATGGATGTAGACGAAGACAGACATTCTGTGTTGGCAACGATTCTCAAGATCGGGGATTTAAAGCCGGAACAAAAAGAAAGTTTGGTGAATTTTATCAAGGAGGAAAGACGTTATTGTCCTTCCTACAGGATGTGGCGCATTACATACGTCACGACCAAATAACAGCGACTGGTTAAATAAAAAAAGTCAAAGAAACAGAAAATGCACCCCAAACTTCTTCAAATGCAAGGAGCAGCAAGACAAAAATGAAAAAACGCATAGCACACTCAGGTGTCCGATGTCCAAAAGCTTTTTTATTTTTAAAATAACGTTTCAGCAAAAAAAGCCTTCATCAGATATTTTTCTTGCTTTGGACCACAGCACACAGTCAATTAAAAAAGTACCCGCCTACTGTCGAGCGAATGAATCCTAATGCTGTGAGGTCAGACGGTTTCCACGAAGTGAAACCGCCTGAGGAATCAGGCTCTGACTTTGGTTTGTTGTTTTAGATCAATATTGTGATTTAAATTCAGATTGTCACATAATGATCCATAGGTCTCATAGACTATAATTATAGAGCACACACAATAATAATAATACTAATACTAATAATAATAATAATAATAATAAGTGAAGTGCCTTTCCTAATGCCGCTGTCACACCTTGACGATTTAGCCAGCGTATGCCGACCTATGAAAAATTTTGCAAATACGCTGGCGTACGTCAGATAAGTTCTAGGTAAGTATTGGGCCCCGGTCAAGCAGAAGTAAACAGCAAGGCCAAAAATTCAAGTTAATGCATCTGATATAAAAATGTATTCAACAGATACATATGTACTCTAGTTTATGAAACTGTTGACCTTTTTTCTGTACCATTTTTGGTTCTAAAGTTACAGACGTTTTAAACAGACCATGTATGAAACATGGAACAAAAATTATTTCCCAAATTTCAAAGACCTGCAAATCATGTAAATAAATGGATGTATTTCATCATATCTTGTGTTATTCCATCTTTGAACTGTTGATGAAGGTACATGATTTTTCCCAAAAAAATGTATTTAAAATGATAAAAATTAGCTTGGAAGGACTGACATATTTTATAGAAATAGTTTCCTTTCGTTTTGAAGTAATATTAAAGTATTCAGAAGAAAAAAGCGACAAATTATGTAAAATCCTGCACCTTCTACTTGTTTGCACAATTTTCTCTCCGTTACTTTTCCCTCCGTTACCATGACCTTTCTTAATAAAAAATCTCATTAGTCAAAAAGTAAGAGGTTTTTCAACCTAATCTTGTACCATATGGTAGAAAACTATATGAAGCAAATATTCAAACCAGTT